AGAAAGTTGCAAAGAATTACAAAAAGATTCAAACCCTCAAATTTCTAGTGATTCAGAAATTCGTTTCCAGAATGCTACAGTACCTATCAGCTTAAGCAGCACAAAGGCAGGGAAAACTGTGGAAGATCCTGCTGCAAATAAAGAACGTGAAAAGTCATCTTCTTTCATTAAAGCCTCTTTATTCAAAGAAAATTCTGATTGACACCACTAAGGGATTTGCCTGACTAAATGAGAGACTTACTCTGTACAAATAAAGCTGGGATGGGATGAATCCTAATTGCTTACATTGGAAATTACCATTGTTTTGTGGATCAAAATCTATAAAGGTCTACTTTACATATTTTCCAGGTCATTTTCATTTTAAGCGATAGGCCGGCTGCAGCCGTCAGAGACTTCAGTGGCACACAGACACATAACTTCTCCAGCAAGCCGACCAACAAGCGACCAGGGTTAAGACTACGCAAACCACAGAGACCTGTTCTCAGGCAACTGGGAGTGACCTTACTCTTTCTATTATGTTTTATTTCTCAAGTTAGAATTTATCCTTGCTTTCATTACGAATTTTGAAAGCACTAGGCCTCGTAAAACAATCTCTCTCACGGTTAAAACGTGCGTGCCACACAGGACTGTTGGCTCAGCAAAGCATCCATGCTAGGGGGAGCGAGGGGATGCTTCATGCTTAAGTCACAAGTGTTTCCCGAATTCGATTTCTCAACTATGATTATATACCTGGCATGGTAGTCTCACTTTCTGATTCTGGAAGGTATATATGCACGGGCACGTACACATGTTCATCTTCAATGACTAGCACTTGCCATTTTAAACATTACCTAAAACTACCAATATAGTCTGCAAAACGTGTTTATGCAGTAGCTGGAAACTCTTTTTAGGAAGGGGATAAACAAATTTCATTTAGTCAGAAAATTACCAAAATCAGCATTATCATGCTACTGACAATAAGATCTCTAAAGAAACTGCTAAGTTTTAAAATTAAATTTCACGTATTGGCTTTTCAAAACGTCAAAAATGTCAGCTTCTAAATAGTGAGTACTTCTGAAGCCTAGACTAAATATTTGCCCATAGGTCACTTCAGGGGAAAAACAAGAAAGACTTGTAAGGTAGCTTAAGGGGCTTTTTTTAAGTTTAATTTACACGGACCTCTAGCCTGGCAAAACTCAGCCACTTCACTTCCCTTATCTGACCGTAGCTAGAAAAAAAAGTGCAGTTACAGTAACAATAGGTTTTCTTTAAAGTTACCATGCTGAATCTATTCATGAAGCAAGAAAAAGCCAAAGATGTGATTCACTCATCTTCATACAGACATCTGAACAGACATGTAGGATGCACTGGAAGGTGAAGCAAAAAGGACCTGCTGACACAGAGCTGGAGCGCTCCACCGGCCACTGGCCTCATCAGCAATCACTTCACCCCAGGGAAGGACAAGTGAATTCTCCTGCCCTGGGCACCACAAAGAGGATGCTGAAGTGACTCTAGTTCAACTATTCTGTAAACACTTTTTGCTTCACGTTCACTTTTTCTAGCATGGTCTCAGGCGAGAAGGTCACGGTCACAAACAGGAACATTTACAAAATGTTTGGATTTGACCAAAGCTTTTAAGCTTCCAGTACAAAGTTTATATAAACAGCACTTCTGACTGCATATACACACACACACATACACATATATATATACATAACTTCACATATATAGAGAGAGTCATTGTAGTCTACGGAAAACTTACATTAAAAAAACCAAACATACTCCCAACTTTTGCCCACAAGTGGCACTCAGTTGGCGCTCAGAGCAAAGTTAGAAACCCAGCTCTGACACCTACAGCATCTATACAGCAGTAATAGAACTGATTGTAGCAACAACATCAGAGCAAACCAGTCCTCTCTGTTTGTGCAAACCAGATGAATAAGGGAGATGGAGCGATCTACCCACAGTCATCTGTGCCCAGGTTCAGGGGAAGGACAGACAGGAGGGAGGGTGTCCCAGGTGTTCCCTGCTCACCCACCCCTCCACCAGGCTCATCTAGCACAAACCTGTTGCTAGAACAGGAAGATATTTTACATAACACGGTGCACAACACAGAACTGTCTTTAAAAATGTTTTTATTTACTTTGAAAATGAAGGTTTCTTTTTAGTAGACTTTGGTTTTATAGTACACAAGAGACCTTTTTTTTTAAAGACCAAAGGGAGAACTCTAATGCCTGTTCATTAGATCATGCTCTGATGCTAAAGACTTTGATCGCTATTCTAAGCCTGATAATGAAGTTGCAACACAGTGCATAAGCAAACTACATTGCCCATTTTCACTTAAATACTAAAATTCAGATGTGTGAAGTACTACACCTGTAGACTGAGCAAATAGCTTTTTTGAAAGGGTCTCAACCACTTCAGAAGCCCCTGAAGCAAAAACAACTGACAAAAATATTTGCATTAGTGCTAAATAAACTTTTCAAAGATACCATGTGACTTCTAGAGAGTACTTAGTAATAAGTCACTGTCCTATAGGGCAAATCTCATTTACTCAGTGTTATCTCCCTTTTTCTACCTACAGTGTTGTTGCTTATCTCTTCATGAGTTATAGATATTTTGCATGCTACATATCCGAGTAAATAATTGTTAGTATTTCCACCGAGGTGTTACCTGTAAAACTTAGTATCAACTGTACATGACCATTATAAACTCAGCTCTCATAGTGATGTTAAAATTATAATCGTTTCTGTGACATCAACTACCCTCCCCAATCAATTATCTAGATATCAAGTCATTTACACACAGAGAACGTAAATGAGAGCAAAATCTGGTCAACCACACTGAGCTCGATCAACAGCTTACAATCAATTTAAACTAATCAGATCGTAATTAGTCTTACAAAAAAAAAAGTTTCCAGCAAATAATACAAGTCCATCTACAGAAAATACAGGTCTAAATGTAGTATATCAAGAAATGCCCTCTTTTAGTAAGGTGTTCATACACAAAAGACTTTACCAGCTGCAGTAGGAGCTAATACCACTTTGAAATCTGCAGCATCAGAGGTGCAGAGGACTGATGCATGAAGGAGAGATTGGCTTCTGGTTAATAGCAAAAAGTGCCTGTAGGCCAAAGATTTAACATGCTCCAGTTACGAAATATTGGGTAGAAAGACACAGGTCACAAGCCACAAAAGTAAAGCCAAGTGTGCCTGTGTTTCCCAAGGGCTAAAGAAACTATTGAGAAATATGTTCACAAAATAACATGACACAGTGACCACATCTTAGTCTATCTTATGTCTGAAAAGAACAGAAATCAGAACAGATTCCCCCTGAAAACCTGAGTTACGTCCCTGACATTACAGCAGCCAGCCACTTCACAGGAAGTGTCATGTGAACCACAAGCCTCTGATGAAAAAGGTATGTTATCTATTTCCAATTTAAGGCAACAGGCACACGGTTATAAATCATAAATGACAAAAAAATTATACATTTTATTGACTCTTAGAAATCAGAACAATTTAAAGGTTCTTTGGCACCAGTGCATTGAACAGACTGTCAGCCTCTGTTATCTCAGGATGCAGGCAAAAATGAACAAATATATTCCTCCCTATCTGCAGACAGGCTACTGATTTATTGTTATTATTTAGGCCTTGTTTTATCAACAGTCATACCTTCCTGTAAGGCTTCAACAACTTCTGATGAGCACTATTCACATATAGTCAGGATGTGTACAATAATGGCAAAAATCCCTCCTTACCAGGATTTAAGAGGGTAAGTCAAGCAGCAGTGCCTACCTCCTACCAAAGTCCTGTGAACTGCCAGGGTTAGATGCTTTCAGCAGCACCACCAGCATTCATTCTTGGGACCCAAGATCACAAAGCTTAAACTTCGTATTTTCGACTGTATACCAACAGCTCAGGGCAGCAGGAACTACACTGTAAAGTAGCCATGTCAAAAAGATCCATTTCCATATAAAATGTCTATCTAAAATGGCAGCTAGTTGCAAGTAAACCCAGTCTACTAGATGAACCACAGACCATCTTAATCAATCTGTGACCAAGTGTTACAACTGCAAAGTCGTTTTCCTTCCTATTTAAAAAAGTTAATGAGATTATCACTGATTTTTGTTACACCAGACATGCAGAATAGCCTTGAAAGAGCCTCCAGCATGCACATGCAAACATAGCTTGTAACTGGATATACAAAGCTTTTGCCATGAAGAAAAAGATCCACTGTCTCCAAATCATTCTTGGGGAATCCATTAAACATTTGACATCTAAAGTAATCTCTCAAGGTAAGAGAATACACTGAAACCCAGTACTTGCCTAAGGCTTCTCAACAGAAGGCTCTTAAGTGTTTTACCTAAAATTGTCTGCAGTTTCAATTTCAGTCAGGAAAGCTTAGGCACAACATAGTTAACGTGAGCTGCCCAGTGTCACACAGTAGAGTTTTGGGAGGCACAGTCCTGGCCCAAAGCCACCACTGGCAAAGCTGCAGTCTACCTCGCAGGGCAGAACCCCGCTCCAGCTTTCCACCAAGGGCTCTGGAGCTTTGTCCATTTGCTCCCTGTACTGCAGGAGGAAAGTGGCTTTCTCCTCCTCCTCCTGGCCTCAAGAGGCACAAATTGCCCACAGCAGATTGTGAGATCTGAAATAGCACAGAGTAACTTTGTACTCCAAAAGCAGCATTATGGATTTTCATGGAACTACCAAGCAGGTGTTACCAAGCACCAGAGAAACTATCACACAATGCTATCAGTACGTGTCTGATCAATAATGTGATACTATACAAGTTTTCTTAATGCACTCGAGTTCTATAAACTCCTGAACTCCCCATGCTTCAGTCTCAGACTTCAGTAATCATTCTTCAATGTTCAGTACCTCACCACAGATTGACAAGACTCAGTCAATCCTACACACACAACAAGGAATAAATCCATCTCTCTCCACTCCTGAAGAGTGTCTGACCTGTAATCTTAGCAATTTTGTAGAAGAGATGGAAGAAGAGGTGCATACTTACACAGCTTAATCTGTGAATTTCTCCTTGATTCACTCGCCTAACGGTCCTTCTCTTCCTCCTCAGTTCACTGGGCTCCCTTCTGAATCTCCCGCGAAAGCTCATTGTACCCGTAGGAATTCAAGCAGCAAACAAACCTGTCTTTAAAGACTATGCTCCTTTAACCTCTTTCCTTCAGCAGCTTCAGCATAACAACTGGAAGCTGCATATACTGTTCAAGGGGGAAGTATGTCTAAAACTTACATGCTGTATCCACAGTAACTGAACAGAAAGAAGAAGAACCCCAGCAATAACTCATTTCTTCCTGTGAACAATATTCTGCTATTAAGGCAAGAGTGTCTCAGTAAACCATAAATATACCCAGCCCCCGCCTCTAATGCAAATCAAAATAGGAAGTTGTAGAAAAAACACTTGCAACTGAACATCTATCTTTGTCTCAAAACTCATTACATCCTTTCTCCTCATCACCCTCCCCAATTCGAAAGCCAAAACGGCTGCACTCTTATTTCATGTGCACATATGTCTGCAAGCTTAAAAAAGGCATTCACAAAACCACCTCCTACTGAGCCCCTCGGTAGCAGGCTTTGAGCACGCAGCAACAGGTTCATGCCGCTGAAGCCCAGAATCATTTCTCTTTTGCATCAAAGTACCAATTCCCTTTTCAAAGTGCATGGAACATCAATAAGAGGAAACACCCTACAAAATTCCTAAATCTGCAGACAGTTATAAAAAGGGAAAAATAGATAAATTTATATGCTAATATCCAAAATACATTTTTGGCTTGTAAAAACCTGGTTTTGGAAGTGCCAACTATGACAAACCACTGCTTGCTTCAACGCTGCTCCCACCTCAGGTGAGAGTAAAGCTGCCAGACAGAGCTTGTTCCCCAGATGCCCCATGCAGAGGCTATCACAGCAGCTCCCTCACCCTGCTACTCCACACGGGGCAATCACAGCAGCACCCTGACAGGTTAGGAGCCCCTCACTCAGTGCCTCCGAACCACAGAGGCAACAGGAGCAGTGACACAGGCAATCAAACTATCCTTAATTAAGGTAGGAGACTCGCCCAATGCTCAGCTGTCTGAAGGCTAGCAGGGCACAAAGGTCTTTTAAAGCCGAACAAACCCCCTCACTGCTCACACACGTGCATGCACACACACAGACCCTTTTCTTCTCCTTTGTTCCAGTTGAGGATTCTTCCTGCTGTAGCAGCAAGGCTGCATTCTCCTAGGCACATAGTCTTTATGTGGCATGCATTAGGTTTTTTTTATTTTATTTTTACCTAATATCAGTGTGCATAACTAAGACAAATTGATAGTTTTTTTGCTTTTTCATTCTGGATTTTTTGCAAATTGGACAATAAGCATCTTTTTCACAACTTGTTTCAATTAAGTGCTCCGAGATCTGCAACTTTACCCTGAGCACCATCTTTTTTTTCTTTTTCTTTCTAGCAAATAATTCTGAGTTCTATGAACTCTTTCATGCATTTTTCAGTGTTAGTGACATTTGATCCAAAGTAACAAACCTCTACAGAATTTCCACATGATTGTTCCACATGCAGGACTTCCACGCCAGAAGAGCAGTCACATTGAGCCCAGCATGTCTGACCTGAGCACTATAAAACCACGCATTGGTCTGATTAGTTTGCTTTCATCTTTCACAGTTAAAACATGGTGCAACCTCATGAATTAAAAGCCCATCTCATCATTATCTTTGTCATTTAGCTTTGTCTTTGAGAAGATCACTGCCTTTAAACTGAGTGTTACCAGCCTGCTGTGCAACTGCTTAAGACAGATATCACTGTACTCCTACTTAGCAGCAAAAAGCATCTGTGTCTGGCACTAGAAAACAGAAAAGACAACAGAAACCCTTTGCCAAGGTATGCAGACATTTCAAGTGGCTACCAATATAGCACCGCAACATTAACCAAGTTGGAATCACCCTTGTTTTCTCTCAAACCACCACACTATCTATACTGAGTCCCAAGTGCCTCTCATATAACATAGCTGACTGCTGCCAATGCAAGAGGTCCTTGCCATAAGTTAAATTTAATGCTGGATCCATCAGCTCTGCTGGCTTAATTTTAAGCAGGTATCAATTCCTCTCCGAGGCTCCTTGACCTATCCACTCCTTTCTCTAACTGTCACACAGTATGAGCTGAGCCCCATCTTTCCTTTCCTTGGGAAGGCTCTCTCCCAGCGTCCTGCCCCCAGCAGCACTAAGGGGCCTTCCACGGCATCCTTTCCTCTGAGATGAGGTTCGACGCCGCTTCCTGAAACTTTGATGAACCTGTGTTACTCCTAAATAATACTAAAGATGAACTTAGGTTCATTTCCAGCTATTCCTTATCCGATTTACTCCAGTATCTTTTGTCCAAATGATTATCATTGCTAATATTATTACATCATTTATTTTCATATCTCTGACAGACAGTTTTTCAGACTCAATGCTAAAGGCACTGAGCATTATATTTTCTCAACACCAAGGCACTAAAAGGTTGAAGCAATGAATGACAAATAAGCTACAGCAATTACACAGAGATACAAACAGAACTAATAGTAAGGAACTGCAAATAAAGATTCCACTTTCTTAGATCTGTTTTGAATGCAAATGCCTCTACACTTGTAATGGCGAATAACATCACCAATCAAATGTCTAATAATGCTTGTAGAAGTACAAAGCAAACTTTATTAGCATCAGTGTGACTGTAGAAGATTTTTTGATTTTTCCTCAGACTTCTCTATCTCTTCAATTAGAGATATTAAAAGAAAGATATCAAAGTACTTTATGATCATAAAATTGGTTACACTAATATGAATAAAGCTCCTGCACTGCTTTTAAACTCAGAACTATTATGTATAAGGTTAGAAGTATTATCCATACCACAAGTTACCCCAAGAAAAGAGGTCACAGGAAATCCATGAGCCTTGGTTTACGTTTGTGAGCTACTTTTCCCAATTTATAGTCACAATAAGGATGTGGAAGTGCCTCAAAAAATAAAAAAAAATATGTAAGGTAGTCACTTCAGTGTTTAATTGCCCTCTGCTCTGCTGTCTTTGCTGAACATTTCCATCTGTTCCCAGCATTTTGAAGAATCTTGTTAATATCTAGATAGGAAAAATAATAAATTTGATATCTCTATTCCTGTTAAGGAATAGCTATGCATTCCCTTTGCTTCAGAGCCACTAGCATTCAGTTTTCAGATAGGGGTCACAGGTTCTTTAATAACTTTTTTATTCTGTTTTCCTACACTTCTAGAGCTTCTGTCCAACTTAATTTACTTCCCTCTTAGATCTATTCACTTTCAGGCTCCATTGACTTCAGTTTGAATTTATTTACATACAGCAATATGTAAAAATGTACTGCTGGACAAAACTAATCCACTGCTACAGTACATCATGCAATCACTAGAAAATTAATTTCACTAGCGCTTTGCTAGCAGCCACACGTACAAAAACTCAGTCCCTAAAGTCTGTATCTTCAACTAACACAAAATACACTCCAAAACAGGCTGAATAATTGAGTTGCTATGTAGCAAGTACTGAATTCACCATACTGTCCTAAAATAATATAATCTACCATCTCCCTCCAAGAATGATGGAGAAATGATGCTTCAGTTAGCCACACTGGCATTTTAATTTTTAATGTACTTTTTTTTGAAATATACGAGGAGGGTGGGAATCATATGCAAAGATCAAATTCATAGCAAGTTTCAGGGAATGAACGCTTTCCTTGAGCTCAGGGCTTCTGTCCAAGGGCAATGCTGACATGTACAGAGTGCAAGTCAAAAACATAGTCCTGACTTATGCCCACGTACGTACAAATAATTGCACATCCACAGTCATTACGTACCTAATCCTGACTTGGGCCTTTTGTTTAGCAGATTTGAGAAAGATAGGTTAACTAACAAGTGAGGAAACTCATTTTGCTGAAAAAAGCTGCATCAACTGCATATTATGCCTATTCTGAAATTAAGTTTCCGAAATGAAAGACAAACTTCTCATAATAAAACTTGTTTCATTTATAAACTAAGAGCACTGCAGTGACAGTGACACTACCATTCAGGCAGCCTCTGCAGCGTAGACCAGTACTGAGAAATTCGGCTGACAAACTTAATGCTCTACCACTTGGCAGAGTGCAGATGAGATACCTGCCTACCTCCCTTGAATGGCTTGTGGCATTTCCAGCATGTCAGAATTCCTGGTAGACCCGTAGCAATAGAGTTGTTGAAGAAAAATCAAAGGATGGCAGCCATGACAAACACCCAGCCCTTCGAATAGAAAGAGAAACAATCTACACTTCATGACCATGACTTTAGCACATGGCCAGCAGGCAGCTATCAGCTCAGGTACCAGTGAGAACAACAACAAATATGGTACCCTGGAGAAGGTCACAAAGGGTTACCTCTTTTTTTTTTGGAAAAAAAAAAATATTGTTTGTTGTTGTTAAAAAAATTACTCCACATAGCTTTCCAGCCTTCTCTGTCCCATATGGTGGATGTAGGATGCTGAAGTCATAAAATTCGGAGACCTTGCTGGTATACTCAACACAGTCAATATCAAATAACATGCAGACAGTGCCAGTGGATAAACTGTATTAATACATATTGATGCTGCTTTTCATATATTCCTTGCCTGATCTTCAATCTCAGTCTCCCAGCAAGCCCACTATTGCTTTCTGTCACACCCAAACAGTGCAGCAGGGTAATGCTTCTAGAAGTCAGTTATGCATTGGGACAAAGCAAGCCATATCAGATATAAGACCACTCTTCTGTGGTCAGAGTGCTTGCTAGGGAACTGATTGTAGTGAGTGGCAACACACTGCACGTATTTTAAAATATCATTGCCAAAAATCTGCTCATGGGACTGCAAGACTAAAACCCATGTGCCAATGACTGTATGCCACGTTTGCCTTATGTGCATCTTCCAGGCATTAGGAATAGTGTGGGTTCTGTAGTGGTTTGTGAATGCATGTAAAAACTGCACTTCCTAAAAGCTTCATGCTGGATAGGTAAAGCAGATCACTACACTAGGATCAGAAACAGAGCAGCTACCAGATAATGCAGGAAGCCCTAGCTACCTCCCTCCCCATCCCTTTGTCATCAAAGACTAGGCAGGGGGGGTGGGGGGTGGTGTGGAGATCAAGAAGAGATGGTCTTTTGGAATTAAATGTTCAGTATCAGTCTATGATTTGAAAATGTTTCATTTTTTTGTTTATTTTAAAGAGGGTGAACATATAAAACCAAAACATTTTAAACAGAAAGTTAAAACTAGTTAGGAAAAACTACATATGAAGCAATCTTTTTCAAAGTCACTC